TGGGTTAGGACAGAGGTGAATTCATTCTATCTGTAATATCTCTCTGGTTTGTCTTAAGCTAATATCAGTGAATCAGGGACATTTCTGGGTCTGGTTATAAATACCACATACCAGTGTAATGAGTATAAAGATGAGTATATCAATTTACCCATTTATATGAATAGGGTGTGCTAACCAATTGCACCTCTGGAGCTCCATTTATCCATTTATATTTTGCTGGGAAACTATGCAGAGAAAAAACAATTAGGTTATTCTGGGGGCAATCATGCAGTTACAAATCAAGATGGCTACAGGAACATCCATGCAGATACTGTTTATTGACCCACTTTAAAAAGAAGAATAAGTATTGTTTTTTAAAAAACAATTGAAGCCAGGAAAGTCCCAGAAGGTAGTTGGGGCAACAAAGCTGAAGGTAAGGTGGCTGGTAATTTTTGTTCTATGTCCTAGGCAAGTTGTAGTGTCTGCAGGTTATTGCGCGGTGGGGTCCTAGTGAGGATTGACATGCAATACTGAACTCTCTCATCTCTAGGGTCGGCACAGACACGTTGTCCGTTTTTGGTGATGAAGCTGGAAGAGGAGGAGGAGAATGATTACAAAGTGAAGTGTCCTCTGCAATGGCGACAAGGAGCCCCATCCTCCCTGCCCCTCAGCGTCCCCACTAACACAGCCTGTCCTTTCCATTCTCTGCAGAAGGCAGCGCAGGGCCAGTCTCCTCTGGGAGACCCTCTCTCAGCCTGCAGGACTCCCTGGCCACCCATGGGTGTGTCCTTGGGCAACCTTCTGCCTGCTCTCTCCTTCCTGCCCCCGTTTTCCTCTTCTTCACTAGAAATGTGTCATCTCTGATGCCCTGCAGGCTTCTAGTAAGGACACAAGTTTCCCCGTACCCTGGCGGGATCCAAGGATGGGACTTTTGGGGACACCTGTAGAGCAGTTTCTCCCATCAAGAGCATGCAGGCTCCCTGCAACCCAGGGTGGGTGAGTTTGGTACTTACATGACTCCTGGCTGGGGGCACCCACCGCTTGTCTCAAAATAACTTCTCATGAGTTTACACCGGATAGTTCGTGACGTGTAGGAGAAGCAGCAGTCAGCAGGACGGTGAATGCCTACTGGTAGAGAAAGGGCCATTTAAAAGGCCAAGGCTTTTCCCTCAAGAGTCCAGTGGTGGGTACTATGAAAGGTACTATGAAGAAGGCCCAGGACTCAGAAGAGATGCTTGCTCCCCTTGGCCAGCACTTGCTGCCATCTTCTTGCTTCGGACCCTTGCCAGGGTTGAGCGATGTACCTGAGGGCACCTGAGATGGGCCCCAGCAGTGCCAGAAGCATTTCTTCAGGGGGTGAAGACATCTGCAGACACCTGCACGCATCAGGAAGCACCCTCTGCTCCAAGGTCAGCCAGGTGGGAATAGAGAAGGTATGTTTGGAGGAGATACCAATCTCCTCTCCTGATCTTCCCTGGAGATTTGAACCACCCTTAGGATGCTTTTGTTCTCCCCCTGTTGGGAGGGGAGATGAAGCTATAGTGCAGATCTATACCACTTACTGCATTTAAATATATATCATGTCTGGTCACTTACAGTAATGAAATCTTGAATCATCAGTTCGATGGCTTAATCTCAGGCGTTCTGTAATCTTTGAATCTGGAAGAAACAGACAGCATGGAGAGAGCAACGATGAGGAGGTCACATGTTCTCAGTGTCTTCACTCACCCTGTTCTCTGCATCCTTAGCCCAAGGAAGAGACTGATGCTGGATCAGTGTTACCTCTCTGGCCCTAGGCTGCCTCTAGGTCCATTTTCCCAGTGAGTGCCCTGGGATTTCTCAGGGACCTTTTAAAAATGTTTGAGACCTGAAAGTTTTCAACTGATGCTGAAATACTAAAAGCAAACTGCAGTGTAACCGAGGTAAGCTAAATATCTACATAATGTGATACAGTCTGCAGTTCTTCCCCACACACTTCTGGACTCTGCAGACCTCTGAAAATAGCAAGTTTTTCCTCACCTTGTATGTTTGCCTACTACATTTTAGTTACCTATTTTCCCATTGATGGCCATGTAGGGTGCATCTACCTTTCGCTTATTGTGAGTAATCTACTATAGACATGGGTATGCTAAAATGTTTTCATCTGCCTTCTTCCAACTCTGATGAGATCAGGTGCATTCAGGGTGGTATGGCCACAGGTTGCTTTCAATTCTATTGGGTATTACCCAGAAGTGTAATTGCTGGATATCATAATAACTTTTCAAAACTCTGCATTCCAAAATTCATGTAGCTGCAAAGATTTTGCATAAATTGTAGAGCTACATTGTGATAATTAGGCAAATGCAACTAAACTTTTTTCCTCTCTCCCTCCCACCTTCCTTTCCTCCCACACTCCCTTCTTCCTTCCTGTCCTCCCTTCTTCCCTCCCTCCCTCTCTTCCTTTCTTTCTTCCTTCCTTCCTTCTTCCCTTCCTTCCTTCTTTCTACCTTCCTACCTTCCCTCCTTCCTTTTCTCCAATTTTCTAATTTAAAGTTAATTCCATAACTGACTATCACAGAATAAAGGTCGCTTTCAAATTATTATTTACATATCATATAAAACATATAAAGTAATAAATTTGGCAATAAGAATTCAACTATCAACATTGTCCAGCAATTGCTTTTTATTGTTCTTAGCTCATTTTCTCTGTACAGTGAGCTTTTCAGATCTGGGGGTTCCACATCTGTGGAGTTAGCCAGTTATGAATTTAAAATAGTCTTTGAAAAAGCTATATCAGTACTGAACATGGAAAGACTTCTTTTTATTCTTTCCATTATTTTTTTTTTTCATTATTAGGGATTGAAGCCAGGGCCTTCACACTGAGCTAAATCCCCAGTCTGTTTTCTATATTTTATTTTGAGACAGAATTTTGCTAAGTTGCCTAAACTGGATTCAAACTTGTGATTCTCTTGCCTAAGTGTCCCAAAGTGCTGGGATTATAGGCATGCATCACCAAGCTCAGCTTCACTATCTTTTTAACCATACAGCATAACAGCTATTTACTAGAATTACATTGTTTTAGGTACTACAAGTAAGCCAGAGATTATCTGAAGTACAGGGAGAGTGTACACCCCTGTACACTCACATGTGAGCACCCATAGTTTTTGTTATCTATGGGGTTTGAAACCATTCTTCCAAGGACACCAAGGGATGCTGTGCTTACATGTGAATTCTAGTTACTGAAGCATGTGGATGTACTATACGATGCTTAATATGACCTGGGTGGACTTGCATAAAGGAAAAAAAAATCCTTAAATTTCCTTGTCTTTCCATAACTACTTCCAAAGTATCTTCTATCCTAATTCCACTGCTTAGTAGTTGTATGATCTTAAATGTTATCTCATGTTTCTAGGCTTCTATTTTTTCATTTATAAAACTAAAATAGTGTCTAAAACTATAAAATTACTGATGTCCCACTGTTTTTCCTTTACAAATATGGGTAATTCAAGCTGTTTAACGTATCTACTGTACAGAGTTGTTAGGAGGAATAAATCTGTTAACATCTCTAAAGCATCTGGAGCAGTGCCTGCCCTATGTCCAGGAAATATTAGCTATGTATTTGTTAAATGAAAATTGGAATGACTAGGTGACTTTGGGTAAGTCATTTCCCTGTGTGGTCCTACTACTTCCTTTCCAAAATGACAGATTTACATTTGGCTGTGTATAAGCATTCTAGCATTATAGAATTCTATGCTTCTTTTTAAAAATTTAAAATTGTAGTAAAGTATAATTTGATCTAGCACTTAGTAGTCTTATGTCAGCAAAGGGAACATATCAAGTAATTCTGATAATGAAAAAGAAAATAATTATTTCCCCACGTGAGATCAACATCTGTGTGCAGTTCTTCCTAAGAAACAAAGGCTGCACAGGGAGCCAGGTATATACCCTGCTGTTGCTTTCAAGTAAGCTCCATAGCCATGTCTGGGACAGAGAGTAGCTGGGGTACAATGGTGCCTCTCTTCATCTCCTCCCCTGACTGAGATACTGTGGTCTTGGCCACCAGTGAGAAGACTCATTTGACTCACCAGGAATGATGCTGGCCTGGGATCCAAGGGCAGCAGCAATGATGATGAGGAAAGAGAGGGCAGCCATGGAGATCATTATCCTCGCTGTGGGCAGGCAGAGCTGGCCTGAGGAATCTTGGGCTCCCTGCTCCCTGACTTCTTGGTATTTATAAGGTGAAGATCAGGAAGTCTCGGAGCAGAGGTCAAAATGCTATTCTTCGGCTACATACTAGTCAACCCACTATTGCTAAAAGAAGGAACAAGGCTGAGAACACAACAGGAAGTGGAGGGCCAGGAGTGCAACAGGAAGTGAGTGTAAAGATGACTTGGACTGTCCTTATGGTGTTCCCTAACTGTCCTAACGTATACTGGAAAAGACAGTAAATATTTTAAGACAGATCCTTTCTTATAGGAGATTCATTAATCCTCTGAGTTGGAAGCGTCCTCCCAACCCCCAGGACTAAACCACCTTCCAGTTCTTTGTAGCCTATAAATGCAGGATCCATCAGAGAGAGCAGTAACTTGTAAGCCTGGTCATGTGATTACCCTCAGTGTCTGGAGATATGTGTGACTCCTCCCTGTGTCTCACACCCCTACTTCATTAATGAGTACTTTTCGTTCTACCGTCAGAAACATACAGACTTATTCCTTGAAAGAAAAACCTCAGTTTCTTCTCTATGTTGTCACTCTCAGTATTTCCCTTCTGACATTATCTACTTGCAGTTAGCAGAAACCCCAGGCCCTTTAGTCTATAGTCTTCCTCCATCTCAGGTTTCAGTCCTAAGTAGTGGGTTCTCAGGTTGCCCACAACTTCTGTCTGAATTGGATACAAATCTCAAGATTCCATGACCCTCATTTCACAAGTGATGTTTTGCTAGAACAGCTCATAGAATTGAGGAAAATAATTCACTAGTTATACTAGCAGTTTATTACAAAGACTGCAACTCAGAAACAGCCAGACTGAACGGTGTTACTGATCAGTCCAAACTTAAAAGTTACAAAAGTTACAAAGACTTTATTTGGGGTCTTCCGTCCTTTGGGAGTTGTCCTTGAGTAACTTTTGCTTGCCCTCCCTTCGACCTTCTGAAAGGTTGTTTTTCCTCCCTAATCTTTGAGCAAGAATTGTATCCCCTCCTTTTTGTCCAGCATTCTAAATTCTAAAGAGAAACCTTACCCAAATGGTTGCAATGTTTACGGCTAAATAATCTTTCTTTAGATTTACACAACCGGGGAACACCTGGTGACCTGCAGATAACATCAGAGACCCCTCCTTGGTTTTTTAATCCTGTATATCAACCAACACAAAATGTGTAAATTGCTATGAGATTTAACTTGCAGAAAAGTACTGTTGTCTGTCTAGAAGAACTACAGGAACAAGCTCCAGGAGATTGAATTCTATTTCAGTGTTCTAGTGAAGAAATTAAAAGAGGACATTGCCCTAGGTGATGAAGATCCCATTCAGTATCTATACATCCTGGCCTGTTCCTCTTTTCCCTCCCTATAAAAGTCCTGTTATGGTTTGGATCTTAAATATCTCCCAGAAGCTCCTGCTTTGAAGGCTTCATCCCTAGTTGGCGGTGCAATTGCAAGGTGATGGAAACTTTAGGAGGGAGTCTTGGAGGAAAATGTGGGTCACTAAGGGTACATCTTGTCCCTAGCCTTTTCTGCCATGCCCTTCTGTCATGATCTTCTGCTTTACTGCAGGTCCAGAAACAATGAAGCCACTGACCATGGACTGAAACCCTTGAAAACATGAACCCAGATCTTTCTTTCTTTAAATTGATTTTTCTCAGGTCTTCAGTCACAGGGATGGAAAACTGACTCACACGGATTCATTGTGCTGTGAGTCCCCCAGTACGAAGCTTTGAGGATGACAGCTTCTCCACATCACCCAAGGTTCTAGTCCAGTAACATTAGGAGTTGTGGTCTGGAAACACAGATTCAGACAGCTCTAACTTGGTGTTCTGCAAAAGGCAAGGAAAATGAGAAGTTACGTTGAGTAAGCAATGTTGACTTATTACAAGGCAGGAAAAATTCCTTTGTGGGGAAATGTCTGTTGGCATTGAGAAGAGGGTACTACGTGATGGGAGCTATGTGACCAAATAAGGAAAATAATGTACAGACTTAGTAAAAAAGTTCATAAAGCAAAAGCCTGATAAGTTTTGATATGAATGGTAAGTCTCTGGGCATAATGTCCTTATTTGTTGCAGCTGCCTGTAGTTAGAAGGTCACTCGTGTTCACGTTCTTAGGCAGAGTTGGAGTTGTACACAGGTCCTTCTCCCTTGATGGCCTTCTGACTCCACTTTGAAGCTCTTTCAATATTGTTTTTAATCATAATTTTTCCTTCATTTTCACATTGCATAAGACAAGGTCTGGGGAAAGGGCATGCAGCTTCTTTGCCCTCTCCAGATGTGCCACTCACCTGATACCTCCACTTGTTCTGCAATGCAGAAGTGCCCCAAACCCCTCCTCCTTTCGGAAGTGTTTGGAGGCTTTCTAACAAGTATAATTGATTAAATTATTGACTGTTGGTGATCAAATCCGTTACCAGGCCATCTCCTTTCCCTGAAACTTAGTGGGGGTGAATCTGAAAATTCCAACTCCCTAATGGTTGGTTCTTTGGTAACCACCCTTCACCCTTAGGGGCTTTTCAAAATCACCTCATTAACATAAACTCAAGTCTGGTTTTAAAAAGCTTATTATGAATCACAACATTCCCTTCACCTTTTTTGCCTCATCACTTGGGAAATTTCAAGCATTTCTAGAGCTCTGTGTCAGGAACGAGGGATAAAGATATCATACTCCTGACCGCCTCACTCTTTCTACCTGGCCTAACCCACCCTTGTCTCTCACCAGGACTATTGCAAAAGCCTCTCAACTTGTTTCCTTGCTTCTCCACTTGTCCTCTTTATTCTGAACGCTACAGTCACAGCAATCCTGTTTAAGTTAGATCAAGTCACTCCTGTGCAGAACCCTCCACTGACTTAATCTCACTCAGTGGAAAGCCCTGTCCTTATAACAAGCTGTAAGCCTTGGGTATCCGGTCCCTATTTGCTCTGTTTTTACATCCTACTACTGTTTCCCTCATTCACTGTGCTTCAGTTATGAAAGTTGTCTTCAGCCTGTGGCTTTTCATTTCCTCTGCCTGATTGCTTTGCTTTCAACTGTCAGCACTCTATCTAAAATAAGAGTACCTCTACCCAAGTATCTGAAAAAAATCATATCTTCTCACATGTGCTTAACATTATCTAACATACTAGATAAGTCATCCCTAAACCCTTTAATGTCCATCTCTCCATCTAGAACATATGCTGCATGGGAGCATTGTGCAGTACTATCCCCCTAGTGTCTAGCACATAGTAGGTCCTTATTTTAGCCTACAGTCTCCTGAACTTAGGTGCATGAAAACTCTTAGGTGCACTTAGTTTATTTGGGAAGTGCTCCTGGGGACTGGACCCATTAGGGGAATTGGTACTTGACTCTGCTTGGATTTTTTTTTTTTGGAAGAGACTTATGAAGTACATCTCAGAATGTTTTGCCTGAGAAGTAAAGGGGAAGCATTTACCTCTTGTTTCTATTCCTGTAGCATTTAAAAATAAGCCACAGATTCTTTGACAATCTTCCCACTGAGCCGTGGAGTTTATGTCCTCTCCCCTCGAAGTTATAATCACATGAACTCTACAGCTAGTTCACGAAAAGTCCTGAAGCTTCAACCCTGATCAATGAAATGCTCAGTTCCGGAGCCCTGGTCTGCCAGAGGAAGAGGCTGAGTAGCTTGAGGCTCCTGGAATATGAGGGAACCCAAGCCACATGCATGTGTCTTGGTTGATATTTCCATATGAGCAGCATAGCCTTCAAATTATCCCAGCCTAGGTGCTAGATAGAACAATAAGGAAGACTCTGGATCTGCACTGTCAAAAATTACAACAACTACATGCGGCTACTGAGCACTGTAGGTGGACTAAACTAAACCATGACGCACTGAAAGTGTTAACTACACACTAGATTTCAAAGATTTAGTACCACCCCCCACTCAATAAGTTTTTGTACTGATCATTTGTTGAAAAGAAAAAAACTGGGGGTACACTGAGTTAAATAAAATATATTATTAAATTAATTTCATTTTTAAAAACTTTTTAGAGATAAGTGGAAAATTCAGAATTATATATGCGAATTGCATTATATTTCTATGGGTTATCACCAGTCTAGATGATTCCAGCCTACAGCCATCTTAGTGACTTCTGGCTATTTGTGTTTTAATGGAGGCCCCATGGAACAGAGACCAGCCATTCCTGCTGTGGTGGATTAACTAGAGGTCAGCTTGTAACACCCAACTGAACTGAATTAGTGTGGTTCTCCATGTGGAAGGCCCACCTGAGGATTGTTGCCAACAGCATAAAAGGAGAACTGGAGGGGAAGATGGTGGTGTTGATTCCCCTGGAGAAGCGTGTTGCATTGGTTTTCCTGATATGAACTCAGCTGTTCTCATTGTCAGAGGAGCTTGGGTCCTTGCTGTCAGTGAGGATGGCTGTGGTTTACTTCAAGGGAGCTTTGGTCTCACCTTGAGCATTGCTTCCTGGCTCCAGTGCAGATCCCTCAGCCTACTGGCATAGATCCTTCATCCCACTGGCACAGGCTTTCTAGCTTCCACCACCTCTGGGCCTTCCCAGCCTAGATCCTTGATACAGACTTGCATGAGATGTTATGGGCTGTAGGCCTCCATTTGGACTCATGGGGGACATTGCCATGGGCTCTAGGTCTTCACTGTACTCATGTCGGACATGGCCATGGGATCTAGGCCCTCAGCTGGATTCTTTGGATCTGTACTGCATGGGCAGATCTGCATTTAACTTTTTGGGTGAATATTACAAAATATTCCTATAAATTATGTGTCCTGTATTAAATCTATTTCCTTGCAAACCCTGACTATAACACCTCCTATGCCTGTATCAGCTTCTGACCCATCAACTGTATAAGCCTAGTTGTAAAATAGTTATTTGATACCACTACATATTGGGTGGTTTGTAGATAGATATGGGTAATGGACCATGGATCTTAATTTCTTCACACTACTGGTCTTGTTCATGCAGGTGTATTGAGTGTATTCTTATAGTTGTTTTACATTTCAGCATCAGAGCAGGAGGGGAGAGTTATAAAATACAGACTGAGGTAAGACAGGTGCTTATCTCATTCTAGGAAACTGAGCGACTGAAGCACTGGCAAAGGCAAAGGGT